ATTCAAATGTTAATTCTCACACTACTTGACAGAATGTTCCAAGTAATTCCTTTTCAGTTCTATTTAGTAGTTTTATTTTCGTAAGCTGGGTGTCATCTGAACTAGGCCTGAATACTTTCAGTGGGTTGATGCCTACATTAGAACTCATAGTTTAGATTACCTTTAAATTCAGAAATAAGCACTCTCACTTTAGAATATTTACATAGAAGGTATGAGTAATGTTTTAAGATTTTCTGGTTTTCTCCACTGACCTAAAGGGAAGTCCAGCTCAGGCATAGCTAAATATTCTGTAAGTATAGATGTATAAAGCTGAGTGATAGGTATCCCCATCCAGTTACTGGTATTTTGTTTGGTTTGCTGTTATTTCCATTAGATAATTTTTTGTAACCCACATGTATCTAAACTTTTTAAAACACTGAATTAATTTTTCACACAACACTTCAGCCATTTCTTTATTGTCCTTGAAATGTACCCTTGTCTCTGGGTGCCCTTGGAAGCTCTATTTACTTCTTTGTTCTTATTTACCCGTGCCTTAGAAAAGGGAAATAAATTTGGAGAAGGAACTTCTCTTTGTGTAAGCTTGCTCTTCAAATATTTTGGCTAGTTTCTCTTGGGATTTTTGTGTACAGAGGACTCAAGTTTAGACAGTAAAGGTCAATCATCTGGTCAAAGCTTATTCAAGCCTGTTGTCAATAGCTTCCACTAATGCTAAAGCTTCCCCTATTGTCAAAAGAGAGACACAGATGCATCCACAGTTTGATTCTTCTACCCCCACCATACTTGTTCACAAAAGGAGAAAAACAGTCCCTTAGAGGTATCTGTCTTTGTTAAAGGAATCAAGCTAGCAAGAAAATAATAAGAAAAAAAGAGATACTTTTGTCCACAATAATGGAAAGGAAAATTTCAAAATTACATGTCACTGTGGTCAGCCATGTGATGGATGTGTGATCTTGTCTGACCTAACTGACCTTATATTTAAATTATTATTTTTATTATGTGTATCCATCAATGATTTAAATGTAACAGATGTAAACTTCATAATAATCAAACATATTGTCAACTGAAAGGGATGCTACCAAAAATTGTTTAGTTGAATTGATGCTATCAAAAATTGTTTAGTTGAAATAACAATTGCTACTGCTCTAAGTAAATGTCTTTTTAAAAAAGACTAACAAAAGTCTAAGCTAAGAGTGAAGATGCTGGAGCTGCTTTTATAGCCAGTGAGAGGGGAAGATTTTTGATTCCTCGGAGATCTGAAGAATCTCTGGAACTGTCTCTCGGTTGATGAAAAGCAGAAAGTCTGGAATGTAGACACATTAAATACGGGCTTCCTGTTAGCAGACTTACTTTCTAGAAGAGCTAACTGTATTCATAAGCCCTTATTACTATATGCTATGTAGTCAGAAAAATAGGAAACAACTATTTTTAGTCCAATTCTATCACTACATTTAGCAAAGCAAAGCTCAGACTTCACAAACCACAATACACATACCTTGTAATACTGTGCTTAAAGCCAGGTTTGTTTTTTGGAATTCAGATTTCTTGAACACATTGTCAAAATAATTGAACATATTTTCTACTCCACTAATTTTTCAGTAGTCTCTTGGTAATCAATACATCACTGGCCTTTCATCTCACTGATTCTAAGGGTATTCTCCTTAGCATGTTGCTTATATATACTTTAATAGGTGTGCATAAAACCGCTAGGGATTTAATTTCTGGAGTCTTGGATCTTCACAGCAGACATCTGAACCTCAAATTAGATATTTTTCCCTTGTGCCATTTGTCTTTGCCTGCAGAAGAAAAACCAAGAGTAAAACACAAACAATAAAGTCTAATGCTGCTTCTGTGGCTTTTTTACCCCTGCTTTTTCACTGTTTCTTGTATAGAACTCTTCCTGCTCCTTGTAGGTCTCTTTTTGCTAAGCAAAACATCGTGGACCTAATCAAAACCCTGTTAGCCATTACAATCTGTTTCCTTCCAGATTTTGGAAATAGAACCGACACCCTTGCCTTCTCCCCATCCAATATGTTTCTCTTCGCTAACCAAAACCAACTTTCCTCTAAATGTGCTCTCTTCTCTGACTGGGAGGGAAGGTGTACTCACCACCTAAAGCTTAGAAACGTGATTCACATTAGTGTTCAGCCTCTAATGGAAAACTGATCTGGAATCCAGAAACCACTCCAGGAAGAAAAGAAGCATCTCGCAACTCCTGTGTGGGTATCTCAGACACCCTAGGACATGCTGCTGTTTTTCAACAAGCAAACTTGCATTCTTCTCAACACAGGAGAATCACATTTATTTAAAGCAGACTATATTAAATTTTTGTTGTTTGTTCTGTAGTTTTAAATAAATCTACATGAAATAGATGTTTCTCTTCTTGATATAAAAGCTTCTCAAATTTTGTGACTCATGATAGATCAATTTCTTCTAAACCCAGACTATTTTACATTTGCATACATTCCCATCAGCTCCCGGAGACAGAAAGCAAGATTAAGAGAGATAGTAAGGGTCTCAAAATCTAAAATTGAACTTCCAGTCTTACCTACATTACTTGTGGGAGGTGACTTATTTACACCTAACATTGAATTTACAGAAGTGTTTATTAGGAAAGCTGTCAGACATAAACTTTTAGATGCAAGACATAACTTGTATTCTCAAAAAGACTGTATTTTTATAAGACTTTTCTGTGTTTTCTCTTTTCCTAAGAACACTTAGAAACCTCTGTTATCTAATGACACCATTATTAGTTTACCTAAACCCCATAATAATTGGATGATAATCCTCTTCACAGTGTGTTTGAAAGTTTTTCTTGACATTAATTTCAAAACAATCACCTTCAGATCAGTGCCTTAAACCCAGTGTCAATGTGTGTAGCCAAATCACTGTATTAAAGGAACTTAACACCTTGCAAAATTTAATACTTCAATGGAAAACTCACTATGGAGTACTGAAATGCTATCATTTGCACTTTATAAACAAAAAACTGAAATAAGAGAAGCAATAGATTAGGTGATTATTGGTGTATAAATAATTTAATACACTGTAATAAGAACAAAGTGACCTGACACTGTACTGATTTTGGCTTGGATAGAGTTAAATTACTTCATAGTAGCTTGTATGGGGCTAAATTCTGGATTTGTGATGAAAACAGTGTTGAGGACCCAGGAATGTTTTAGTTATTGCTGAACAACACTGGCACAGTGTCAAGGCCTTTTCTGCTTCTTGTACAACTCTGCCAGCGAGGACGCTGGAGGTGGGCAAGAAGTTGTGAGGGAACACAACTGGGACAGCTGACTCCAACTGACCAAAGGGATATTCTCAACCATATAGCATCATGCTCAGCAATAAAAACTGGGGGAAAGAAAGAGAATGAAGGGATGTTTAGAGTGATTGCATTTGTCTTTCTAAGTAACTGTTATTCATGATTCCTGTTTTCCTAGAGATGGCTGAACATAAAGGCATATGTTATAGATAAATAGAATAAATATCCTTTAGGGTGATAATCCATATGCATGAATTGTAAAGGAGCCTAGGGTAGTTTGCCTAGATGTCTAAATAGACATTAGACTTCAATGTCTAATTTTTAGGTATTTTTAGAGGAATCTATATCTACCTGTATCTGTAGCTATTGATCTTTAATGCAGATCTAAAGAATTACTGGATTTTTTGGCTCCTTTCCAATGGTTCATATTGTAATGTATATTCATATTGTGTCAGTTACCTATTTTCTCATCACAGATTTTCTGCTAATACCTGTTATACAGCCAACATCCTACATTTCTGGTGATAGCTCCCCATTATGGTTAACTTCAGGCTGTTCTTGACACCTCTCCTTAACCTTGTGCTCAAGTCTTCACAAAGGTCTGATTTGAAACAATTTTATCTCTGGCGATACAGGGCAACAATATGCATAGACAAGTTCTTCCAGCAAGTGTCTTGCGGTTTCTTCCCTGGAAAGCTGGATGTTTCATGAACTGCAAAACCTGAAAAGGCCATATGCTAATAAAGAGCATAGAATATCAGAAACTACAGTCTCAGTCATAAACTCAAACCCATATTTAATATGGCCATATAGGGATGCACTTGGCTGACAGATTTATTTGTTTGTTTGTTAGAGAATATTAAATGTTTTGAAACACTGTGATATTCTGAACATGAAGTAGTTTTCTTAGAGGCACCGTTTCACCAGATGATCAGTGTTTAACTCAGTCTTTCCAGACTTGTGCATAAGATCATGACTCCTGCTGGAATACTGCTGGATCCAAGGCTCATGCAGTCTGAAGAAAACATTGAAGTGATCTGTCCTTTCAGTTGTATCTGAATTTCTTCGTGGAGCAAATTATTTGGTGTGCAAAAAGGATATTCAGGGGACCAGGGTTCTGTTGACAGAGGCCAAGTGGCAGTTGCAACTGTACCATGCGAGCAGCTTGGACTACTCACATTATACTTTCTCTACCGCTGTTAAAGAAAAGTTGTCTTCTTCAGAGGCTGGGTTCATTTTATCCTACACCAGCTATCTAAGAACATTAAAATTACTCATCCTTTTCCATTGCCTATTCATTTCAAGGGACAATAATGGAACCTCAGAGTAAATAAATCGGATGTAGGTATCTGATTTTTACATGCATTTTGCAATGTTTACTGGACCTAGTAAACTATCTAAGGAAAACAAATCTGGGGTTCAGTTCCTAGCATTTCCAAAACTTCTCTTGAAAACTGGAGCAGTCATTCAGCTGCAGACTTAAGAATGGGTGACTACATAGATTCTTTGGGGGAAACAAACGAAAAAACCCCAGTCATCTCAAATCAAAACCATAGTATATACATAGATCTAACAGATTTATTAAGCTCTAGTTCAGGAAATATGGGCACTGCATGCATGAATAGGAGAGTTTCATTTTGGCATGGATTAAGGTCTGGACCTCCTGACTTTAGCTCATCAGCACTGCCAGTTGATCTCCACAAAGTCCCTTCTCCAGGAGTCTGTATTTGATTTCTCAGATGTGTCTTGTGCAAGTAAAGGTCTTTCCCAGAGCAAACCAGACTTCCTTGTTTCTAAAACAATATATAAGAGGATTCAGGAGTGGCACAACTACTGTGTACAGGACTGATACCAACTTGTTAGCGCTGTAGGTATACATGAGCTTAGGATGGGCATAAGTGAAAAGAGTAGAACGATAACACTACAGTCAAATGGGAGCTGCAGGTGGAAAAGGCCTTTTGCCTCCCCTGAGAAGAAGGGATCTTCAACACAGTGAACATGATGCAAGTATAGGAGGTCACCACAGTGCAAAGAGGTACCATGATGACCATCAGAGCCAAGATTAAGTCCACTAGCTCAGCCAAAGAGGAATCACTGCAGGAGATATTCAGTAAGGGTGAAATATCACAGAAATAATGATTGATTTCACCTACATCACAGAACGAGAGCTGGGCTATAAAGCTCAGCTTGATAGAAGAAGTGGTCAAACCACACATCCAACACCCAGCTATCAACTGAACACAAAACTGATGATTCATGATGAGTGAATATCTGAGAGGTTTGCATATGGCCAAGAAACGGTCATAGGCCATAACAGCTAACAGAATATACTCAGTACAAACGAAAGTCACAAAGAAATACAACTGTGTTATGCACCCCTGGAATGAGATATATTTGTCATGAGAGAGGATGTCTATAAGCATCTTTGGCTCAATGACAGAAACATACCAGATCTCTAAGAAAGACAGATTCCCTAGGAAGAAATACATGGGGTTTTGCAGACTGTGATTATTTCGGATTATAAGAATGATAAGGAAGTTTTCCAACACAGTTGATAAATAAGCCAGAAGTAAAGCAGAGAAGAGAAGCAGCTGCAGTTCAGCAGTGGTGGGAAAAACCAGAACGAAATACATTACTTTGGTTTCATTCCTCCCACCCATTCTGTAGAAGAAAGATGAGCTTATCCACCTGCAATAAATTAATACAATGAAACCTAACTACACAGGCTTAAATTCATAGCAATATGTTACACCACAATTTAAAGACATTGTAAAAGTTCAGACACTTTGTTGCTGCGTTTTTAGAAACCAATTTTTTCCAATCTATCTGCTCAATTCAGAATTTTTAATTTTAAAAATTAAGGTATGCTTTTTACTTTATATTTCATGGAGATAAATAAGCATTCCAAGTCCTGTCTCATCTAAGATGCGGATCTAAAATAGGCTAAATGAATGATGCTATGATATTGTCCATCCAGTATAAAGAAATTATAGGTTATGAGCTTATAGATAGACATTCACATTGCCAATGTTTTATTTTCTACATCTAAACATTTCTGAAGTTATATCATGTATATCCCATGAACTGTGATGGAATTGTGAAGTCCCACAGGGATATATTCAATCTGATATTTAAAAAACCCTCCAAACATATCTGAAGGAGCCCATTAGAGGTTTCTATGTCTAGCTCTGAGGAGACTTATGTATACATAAAGCTTATTGAGATAAAAGGTCCACATAGTATCTGAGATACAGCATAAGTGCAAGCGAATTATAATTCTGGGTCTGGTTTGTTTGCAACTAACTCAGATTAATCTTTCAGAAATAAAAACAGCCCCACCTGTGCTATTAAAAACAAAACTGTTCTCAACCTTCTGTAGTGGGAATTCAAGTAGAATCCACTGCCTTAGTTGATCCTAGAGAATATGATCAATAGGGTACAGAGGAAGTGTAGACTGTTGTGTCAGTTGCATGATTTATACTAACACAGATAAAACAACCACTTTATTTACCTTTGGTGTCTCATGAGATTTTATTAAGAAATTATAGATAGCCTCCCAGTGGAAGCAATCACAGAAAGAGGAGAGATTGTTTCCTCTGTGATTCCATGCAGAGTAGAAGTAAGAAACTCTGAAAATGTCTAACATTTTTTTCTGAGACACTGAAGAACTAAATAATACCAGGTAGTGTCTATTGATTTTTGTGGGGCAGAGGAAAATAAAAACATACCCTGAGGCAGAGGACATGGCAGTCATCTACCAAAAGCTAATGTAGAAAAATATTTTAGTATCCTAATCTCAATCTAGAGCCTTAACTTAGTGTTTTCACCTACACTGGAGTTACTTGTACAACTTTCAGATCTATAAATAGCCAAGCTATGCATTTTCTGAATAGTACAATACAGTACAAATATTATAGTGAAATGATTCCTCCAGTAGTGTGAAATACCTCTATTAGAATAGACAGACTCAGTTTCTTAAGTTGCCTGATCCTGTATATCTGTCTCCCTTGATGACACTGACATATGGAAACTCAGTTTAGTGCCTGAGTACCTGTTTAAGTACTCACAGTTACGTACAATAATTATCAACTAAAACCCCAGTGTCAAAATGGAATTTTATACATATATTTACATTTAATTATATGTTAGATATAGGATTCATTTGTACCAATTTAAACACCTGATATGCAAACATTTAAGACTGAGTTCAGCTGCCTAAGCACAGCAGTTCAGTGTCATTTGGGATGTTCTCAATTCTTACTTGTTTCCACTTAAAGGGACTCAAAAAGAGGATAGCCACACGAATCCAAGAAGCAGTTTTGGTAGTGTGGTGGGTTTACCTTAACTGAACACCAGGTTCCCACCAAGACTTCTCTATCACTCCCCATCTTTGACTTGTCAGGAGAGAGAAAATATAATCAAAGGCTCATGGGTTGTGATAAGAAAAGGGAGAGATACCTCACCAATTGTCATCATGGGAAAATCAGACTCAACTTGGGGAAATTAACTGAATTTATTACCAATCAAATCAGAGGAAGATAATGAGAATAATGGAGATGATGGACTCTCTCTAATCTACCACTACAGCCAACAACTCTATACAGTACAGATGGTAAGAATATGGCTAGTCTTTTTTTGTCTGATGAGGAGAACGCTGAGAGGTGACCTAATAGCAGACTTCAGCAAGTCCAAGGTGAGCTACAAGGATGACAAGATGAACATCTCAGTTGTGGCAGAAACACTCATCATGGCTGGGCTTCGCGAACGAAGAATCAGGAAAGGGCTCTACCCACATTTGTTGTAAGTGCACTGGTGGCTAAAAAGGCCAATAGGAGACAGGCATGTCCGATTGCAAAAGGCACAGCAGAAAGACTCCTTAGATGGTAAATTCTGCAAGGCATGATTCTTTCTGCGTTGCCTTTTCTCCTCAAGGGTGATCCTGCTGCATTCTCAAAGGCATCAGCAGCATTATAGATGGTGTGTCTCCAGACCTCCCAGTTGGAGGCCAGAGTAGACCAGTTATGTTGATCAATATGGCC